AATGTTTCGAAAGAGGTAAACAAGTGTCATGCGCATAGTCATGGCTCATCGAACTCGAGTCGTATTCCGAACAAATATCGTATCCCACACCAAAACTTTTCTCGTGCAATCATAACATATACGTCCAGTTGAAGGTGTTTCAAAGCGGTCTTATACCGTCTTTTACATCCGTTCTTTTGAGCAATTTGAGTCACTCGTGTCCAGGTGGTCTGAAGGGAGCCTCCAAGTCTTACCGTCTTTTTAAATTCTTTTATGAAGAAAGCGCCGTCTAGCGATTAAAAGTGCAGTTAAAAAATTGCGTAATAAAATTCTTTGGGAAACAAAATCTCCATGATGTTATCCATTTTTGTTCTAATTACATCATTATGCATTTAAAACTAATGGAAGTACAGTTTTATTTCATAATTCTATGGACTTGAGATTTAAAGCAATTAATTTAAGGAATCTAGAATACTGAATAGTCTTCTTTTCTTCTGATCTTCATAACTGTGAACAAAAGTAAAGCTGAGATTAAATATATCGATAGAAGGTCAATAAAGAGAAATGTATGTTGACTCTGTTGTCGTCAATTACATATTCGCATACTTCCGAACAACTATTTCAAACAATTTTCCTGTCAGCTTTATCAGTGAAAGAAAGACATGTGACTGTATTTTCTCCCTCCTTCCAGGATGCCTTCGAAGTGTAACGGTAGTACACTCGGCGCGTATTGGAGTACCGGCGAGGGCAGCGCATGTTTTTCATGTCTGCAACACTACAAATGGCCCTCGAATTAAAAGATGGTGGACAATAATCAATATTTTTCGATTGGGTCCTTTAATCCCCAGTCGCCCTTTAAAAGGAGAAATATATAAAGAATTTCCTCTCTCCTTCCAGTATTCTTTCACGGTGTAACGGTAGCCCACTCTGCTCGTATTCGAGAGGTTCAAGTTCGAGTTCCGGAAAGGGCATTGCACATTTTTCAAGTTTCCTGCTTAAAAAAATCCTAATTACTCTATACCGTTTCCACAAAAAGTTGTAGATTGTTCATTTTCATTTAAGCAACACCGAATTAAAAAACTTGAATGTCATTTATTTGTTGTTAGTCTCTGTGCTTGTAATGGAGAACCAGTTTCCCCTTTGCATGGCAACGCCGTGGTGATTGGCTGTTTTATATCATATGGCAATGCAGTTGTTCTTCCCAAATGTTCTGAATGTGTGATATGACATTTACTTTCCCTGATAACCCCTTTATTGTAATAATAATAATTATTATTATTATAATGATTTTAATTAAAAAAATAGACCCTCAGATTCTTGCCTTAGAATGTTTAATAGTGTTAGGAATAATGTACAGATAACTACAGAAACAGATATTTGAAGTACATTGTATAATTTTTTTTATTTAAATAATTCTCTTTCATGTGTGATTTTCCAGTTACTTAAATTTCATTCTACGGCTCTACAATAAGAATAGTAGAACAGAATCTTTGAACTTACAGAATCATAGAATGAAACTTGACTAGATTGAAAGGTAAATGATATAATTTTGTAATCATGATTATATAGACATCTAACTTTTTTTCACTTTTTTCTAAAAACCATGATGTTCGATTTTTAGGTTATTTTTCTCGAATAATTCTTAATAAAAATTAAAATGAAGAAATAAAAATAAATCGGAACGTGAAATTAAATTTTTATGTAATCATTTGTTAGCCAAGTTCTTAATATTCAATAAATGATGCTTCGATTCAAAAAGATTGCATGCTTAATGACTAAATGCAAATATGGAGGTTTTCATTTAAGAAAGGAATAAACAGAGCAGATTTTCAGCCTTCAATGATTAGAAATAAGCACACTTTTAATCTTTATTTAGACCTCGCAGGAAAATAAATATCACTAAGGAAAGCTAACTATTCAGTAGCCGAATTAGTTAGCTAAAATTATTAGTCCAAAGGGGCAATTTACACAGAAAGGCCTATTAATTTCGTTTTGGCATTTTGCGTTGGTTCAGTATAAAAGTCTGAATCAATTTTCATATTGTTGCCACCAAATATTAGAACCCTGCAATATATTTAAGGAAATTAAATAATGAAGAATCTGCATGAATGTATGTATGTTTCTTGCAGTGTGAAAAAACATTACCTAGAGACATCAAATTTTGAATAACGTAGTCCTCCACTCGAATATTTGCAAAGCTTTGGAATTTGTTTTATTATCTATTTCATGTATTGTAAAACTTTAACGAGTTTTTGATTAACAAACTCAACGATTTCAATGCGAGCAATGACAACACTGTCCGAAAAAAAAGTAATTTTTATCTCCAGTGCGCGAGACTGTGTATCGGAAATTCTAAAGTTGCTCTTTTTGAATTATTTGTGATATTGCTGTTGAACTGAATTTTATGGTTTAAGTGCGAAGAACATGATATTTAAAAAATATAGGTAACACATAAAAGGTTTTTAAAAAAAAAAAAAAAAAAAAAAAAAAAAAAAAAAAAAAAAGCTCCTTGGGGCGCAACATAAAATCTGAGAGTTTTTTTTTTTTTTTTTTTTTTTTTTTCTTAGGTAAAATTACTTAAAATATTATTTACTAAGATTTTGGAGCACGTGTACAGTAAAATACTGCTATGCATATTACGGTTTTGAATACGATTTCCTGAAAGATATTTTGAATGTCAGGCAAACAGTAGTATAAACATGCGTAATACAAATTTCTAACTTTAGAAACTGCTAAAATTAGACGTTCATAGCTAACGGAATTCAGTTTTCATATGAAGTAATTTGAAGACTAAAATTGACGATCGTTTTCAATGGGTGAAAGTGATTAATGTCAACTGGAATCGAAATAGATTGAAGCTGAAAATTCTGACAACTAGAATGTTCAGCTTCAATTCTTACTTACAAAACATTTTTTAACACCTCAAGGTTAAAAAAAAAGTGTTATTATTGATTTCTGTTTTCCAATTTCGATAAATTGTGTCTAAATTATTTTAAGTAACATTTTGAATTTTTTAAAATTTCTAAAAATTTTTAAAGCTAGACTTTTCTTTGACAAAATAAAATTATAATTTGAAATTTTTAAATTGCAAGTTTTTTCTTTCTTCTCTCCTTTAGAAGTTCGCAAATGGATAAAACAGCAAATTACTGATTAGAACTCAGATGAATTAAACAGCAACTTGCTGATTGAAACTTTTCTTTTAAAGAAACGCATATAAATTTAAATTTCGCATATTTTTACAATAAGAGTTCATATGATCAAAATTGTCGCAGAATAAAAGCTTATCTTATTTGAGTCATTTTCAAACTACAATCATCTGTTTTTCTTTCAAGAGATATTTCGTCGTGGAAGTGTTTTGAAAATACATGCTGCTTAGCCAAATCTTTACTAGCTTGCCATGAAACTGGACCCCACGCTCTTCAATTAAAGTTCTTAGCTGAAAGGAATTCTGGAAGTTTCTGAAGTTACATCATATGTTTCCCATTGATATCCACATGTTTCTAAAAGTGTGGTAAAAAAATTGTTCCTACCAAGTCTTCTAATGCCGTCTATGTACCTTTTTTTCTTCTTTTCCAAATGGCGAATTTTAACCATACTCTATGAACCTTGTTTTCCTTATTTCATAATATCAAACTTTCATAATCTTTTTTCTTGTTTTATGATATGATTGAAACATTATACGTTACATAATTCTCAAATAATGTTGTTTCAAAAACTCCATTTCGATTCCAGTTGACAATATCATTTGGGACTCATATCTTCAAAGAAGGCAAAGAGTAATCATAAAATTTGGATTTATTCCAGATGTTTTTGTTATATATAAAAGAATCTATAGAATGATATCAAATGCCACTCTCTTCCAAATCGTTAGCAGTACACCACTTTTTAAATGTGCTGAACAAAAATTCCATAAGACAACTCCTTAGAAATCATAGCAGAGAAATACGAGATACCGCCACATTCATACAAGTACAACCTGAGAAAGGAAAATGACATCATATTAAGCAGGAAAAAAGAAGCAAACGAAAAGAAATTTCCTCAGTTCCATACAGATGGTTCCAGCCTAGAAGAGGGTAAAAGCAGCGCAATCAAAATCTACCTGGACCTCCACTCGAACAAGAATTCCACTTAGACCTTAAAAACAGTATATTCCAAGCTGAATCAGAAGCGCTCCTGGAAGCAATAAAATACAGCATCACAAAGTCCCTAAAAGCATCGTTAGTCTTCGCAGACATTCCTCAGCCATGCAAGCTATCGTGAACTCTCACCACAGATCAAAATTAATCCAAGAGATTATAGAAAGAACTTCAAAATCACAAAATCAGCACTTCTTTGTCACTTAGCTGAAAGGACATGCAGAGGCAAAAGCTAATGAGGTGGCTGACATCCTAGCCAAAGAAGCAGCTAGGGGTCAAGATGCACAAAACTTATCAGTGCCCTGGCCTGGCTTGCACCTGAAGACACTCACAACCAACGAATCTAAAACTGATTGGCAGAACCGGTGGGACGAAACTGAACACGGGAAAAGGACTTATCAACTGTTTTTAAAAGTAAGCACTGCACCCAGTTCAGTAACAAGAGAAACAGCGTGGCTCGTATCGGGGCGTGGCCCTTTTCCTACTTTTATGCAAGAAATACCGCTGCTACGGATGAGTGTGTACGTGGAGAAATAGGCAGCACCAAATACTGCTTATTTAAGTACTTCCTCAAGGCTGAAAATCATCTAAAAGTTACGAAATAAATCCTTTCATAAGATATACTACCAGGAACAACCATCTCAGAAAGGAAACACAAACGTAATGAACTTCTTGTCAACAGAACGCTATACAACACAGCCTATGATAGCATAGCAAAGATGTTTCCTGAACAAGACGTGAGGTCGAATGTAATCTCGAATGTCACACCTAATCGCAACAGAGTAAAAATGCAAACAGAACTGGAACTGTCGTCCATAGCATGTAAGTGCAAGAGGCACCGGTTGTGAAAGCATCATTGTAAAATACGTAATTCTTTCTTTCCAGATCTGAAAAACACCTGGCCAAGCGGTAAGAATATTTAATATACACCAGAAGAGGCAGAGCCCGAAGTGTGAAACACACCAAATAACAAGACATTGCAAGCAACGCCTGGCAGGCCTCTTGTGGGCCTTGTGGAGTGGAGTTATCTGGATAATAAGTGCGGCTGGATAATACCCACATTGCCAAAGGTATCCACCATATTTCACCGTGTCCAATAGATTGATTCTTATGTTCTTTTTGAGATAGTTATTTTTATTTATATATTTATTATAACAACCATCAAATTAAAAAGCAATATTTATTTATTTATTACGTTATGATCGTATCTTAAATTTTCCCAATAATGAAGCATTTATGTTCTTGCTTGTCTTTGTATTCAAAAGGTACCTTTCCTTACTCCGTTTGTAGAAAATCGCGGCATTCAGTTGTTTCAAGCAATAAGGAAAGTGTGATGTACCGATTCACCTTAAGAAATGAAGCACCTTCAGAGTGGAATGTTGTTACCATGTTTCCATGTGATGTTCTGAAGTGATATTTAGGTAGGTTATAAATGCAATACTAAAGTTTTCCATCTAAGAATGTCTTTACCACATGATTTTCAATAAAGATTAAACCCGGAGTTTCATGGCATAATGTCTAAAGCACAACATTTCCGTTACCGCTTGCCTTCCCTTATCTTCTGTCCCTTATAGCTCAATATAAAGCTTAATAAAGAATTGAAGAAAGTATATGAGTTTCGAATAGAAACTTTACTGAGTAAATCAGAGGGAAAATGACATATAACTGAAGTTACGCGCCGTGTAAATTACATATTTGATTATTAACATAAATAAAAGAGAATTGGGACAAATAGGAATCCACTTATATACGTAAGAATGAATAAATAAGATGCGTTTAAAAGGCGCATCATTCTATTTAACACCGCATGCTTCTGTAAAATATTCTGCTATGTATAAATAAAATTTTGATTGTTAATTTAAATAAGAAAGATCCGGGAGACAGCTGAAACGACGCATGACAACGTTTGAGCCAACTGCCCAAAAGCGTCAGTACTATTCTGTAAACAACCCGAGCTAGAACTCTGAATTTTAAAGCAGTTTTGTGCTTTTTCGCGTAAATCTATTAGCAATGAGTTTTAGGAGAGTTAACAAGAAGTGTCAAGCAACGAAGAAATTTGTCAGGATCACCATGATGGTCAAAAAAGAGATTCTTAAACCGTATGAAAATGGCATGCTTATGCGGAACTAGGCGGTTGCATTCCGTACCGAGTGCAGTGGTATCTATGAGTGTGAAAATCAAAGACGCTATTAAATTAATTAACATTGCAAAGGGGGGCGAAATCCCTTACCAAACAAAGCTCAGAGCCTTTAGCGCATGTTAAAAAATAGCTTTTGATCTGGATAGTAGAAAAACATTTGTGTACAGTATATATTTCACACATTGCATTTGTATTTTAGTACTAAACAATGTTGTAATAATACATAATATTGCGTGGGTAAAGGTTCGCAATGGATTGAATACACACAGAACCGATGAGAACTTGATAAAATTTATTTTTAAAAGACTTTACGGTTTCGAACTTTCCACAGAAGTACTCGTACAGCCCCTTCCTCAACCACTTCAAACTACTAATAATGTTAAACCCAATGGTATGTATCCAAAGAGCAAAACTCCCACGGAGATCTCTTAACCCTCCGGTCTCAGCTTTAAACTAAAAACTAGATTCTAATTTCCCCTAGTTGCCACGAATAACGTGCTAAGTGCATGTTGTTTTCCGGCTGTCTTAATGTAGTTTCCTTGACGGACGCTTGAAGTAGAGCAATTACTTGGTCGATTTGTCCAGAACAGCTGGGAAGGATGGAGGAGCGTGACCATTGTCACATGTGCTGAACTAAAAACTGAGACTGTCCAGTCTTATAGAGTTTTCCTCAGCCGCCGGGAAATTTCCAGTACTTTCCATTTCTCGAAATTACTGAAAGACATATACGGATTAAAGTTACATATAAGGGCAGCATTCGATTATAGTTACACCAGGGGCATAGCTAGAGAGGGACAAAGAGGAACACCTGTCCCCGGGCGCAGCATCCAGAGAGGCGCCGAAATGATATTACGAACTTTTAGAATGAAATGTTTTCCATTCTTGGTAAACAAGAAGGGTGCAAGAGCTGCAGCCGTCCTGGGGTGCTGAAAACTGTAGCTACAACTCTGAGTCACATATAGGGACCAATTACAGTTTTCAGTTACATAACCAATTACTGTTACAGAGGGACACAACATAAATGTCATCAAATGGTCGCCAAGTTTGGCGACACTTGCCGATTTCTTTCGAAATTTTGTGACAAAAATTATTCGCCAAGACCGTTGCCAGCTTGGCGATATCTCCCTAATTTCACGAGATAGTCATTTACCGCAGTGTTAACCCTTTCGCCGTTTTCTCCTGTCCGCGAAAATTTCCTCCCCCTAGCGGGTCGTCTGTTTTTCGTAGCGTGTAATGTTGCTTTCTCTGTACATCATGACTCTCCATACATGACTTTCGTAGTGGATGAATGTCAACGAATATTAAGTAAAATTATAAGGAAATAAAGCATAATGAAAAAATAATAATATATCTGCTTATTTCTAACAGCAGGATAATTTGATAACATCTGATCCAGGCGGTCCCCTCCTCCCATTTTTTTTGTTGTAATCTTTTAAAATTATTGGTTTTTTTAAAGTTCTTTTCCGTGTTCCAACATCAATCATCGCGTTATTATGGACTGTATTCATCAAACGTATATCCTTCTTGTCTTTCCAATTCACAGCCTCATTTTTTTCTCTTTTTCTGCTGAGTAGACGTTGAAGCCATCTCTCACTGTCTTGTATATTATGTAAAATGGCGCGAATATTCATAAAACCCGGGGCAAATTCAATTAGAAATAGAATGCCTGATTAGTGCTACCCTCTAGGAGGTATAATGTAGAAGAGTGCTTGAGGCGCGTTACGGCTGCCCTGCGGAAGTTTCATGTGAACGCGCTAAACGCGTTACGGAAGACGAAGAGGTTAAATAGATTTGCCCCTGTAATCGTATATTTCTGGCAGAGCTTTGCTTTTTCGATGCACTCCATGTTACATTACACGAAAGATACTACAATTTTACATATAATTTCACTAAAATTATTTACATATATACAAATTTGTAATAATAAGAATGAGAATTTTTTATAAGAACGGATTAATTATTTTTCCTTTATTTCTTATTGGAAAAGTTCTTTGGTTCACGTCCGATCTGCTATACTTCCAAGGATCTGGAACGGAGTAATGACGTATACCGAGACACTACTTTAATTGTATGTTAAAGTTTCAATTCTTGAATACCTAGAAATCGTGTAGTTATACATCATTCTTGAGAACAAGACTTTAAAGATACTTATAAAGCACATTTCTAATGATCACTATTACTGCTGATATTGACGTTATATCAGAGAACATGAATTATTTAAAATATCATATTAAATTGCTCATACTTGCTGTAGTCCTCATGTTTCTATCAAAATATCCTCTATTTCCCAAAGAGTATAGTAAAACGAGAAAGAAGCATATGTTTTATGAAATATTTTCTGCTATAACACCATTGCAAAATAAACATCTGAAGGTAATATTGTTACACCTGTTTCTGAAACACAGTTTTGTACATGTGTATGCTTATTTCTTTAACACGTGTCTTTTGAGGACCGACTTGGTTATTCACATTGCGAAAAGCTAGAAAAGTGAGACAGCTACTGAATCAGCATTTTGATAAGGATTCGAAGCTTTCTCATCTTAGTAAAAGATGTAAACTATAGATCATATTTCTATCAAATATGGGACTATCGTTTAGAATTTTTAACGGCTTTACATTAAATGAAGAGTAATCAAGAAAAGTTAAAATAGAGTTCTACGCTACATTTCTTATCACATTTTCTGCTTTTATAGTAAATTTGATGTCTGCTAATAACATGTAGCGAAATTACTTGAATAATTCAATTGAAATTTAAATGATGCAGAAAGCTGAAATAATTTCCAATAAAAAATTGTGTATTTCATAGAGTCATTATGTTATCGATTGAGGACACGTGAAAATGTGCAATGTCCCCGCAGGGAATTCGAACTCTGGACCTCTCGACAACGCGTCGACCGTGCTTCCAGTTACACCGCAAAGGCACGCGGAAAGTAGAGAGAAACTATTTTTTGAAAAAAATTCTTCAAATTTATGTGGTGCCTAATTTTTTATCCTAATTTCATGCTTCAGTGCATTTAATTTCAAATGAAAATTAAGAAATTAGCTTTTCACGTATATATTTTACGCCACATGATTTCTGTGAAGGTAAGATGCATAATAACTTTGTGGACAAAAATATATATTATAATCAAATGAAAACAAAACAAAAACAAAAGTCAAAACATATAAAACGAAAACGAAATATCGTACAACGAGCAGAAAAGTAGTTAATAAGATTTAAATTTATAGCAGGAATTAAAATTTGGAGCATTTTTACAGTAGCTGTAGTGTACATGCCGCCCTGATCGGCATAGCCGTTAGCGATGCTGGTTGTTGTATTTTGGGGCCGAGCTGCAGTCTCGGAGAAGGTTTGGATATTTGTTACTACTATTTAGTGTTTCTTTGTTGTCAGGAGACTCACCAATGGTCGAGTGATTTGGACCGACTTGGGTTTGAGACTATGCGAGAGTTCTGGCTACAATTCAATTTTCTTTAAAAGATCCTCCACGAAGATATCCCTTCCTTTAGGCGGATAGCCCTCGTGTGCTTTTACTTACTCAAATAACGTAACATAACGTAACCTTTGTGGCCCGAGAGTACTTAAGCTACACGGCGAGATGAAAGTCCTCGCTTCTGAAGGGCCCTTCGATCTGTCCTCCTGGAGAAGGGGGCAGGATTTTCCTTCAAAGTTGGAGCGGAGCTGGGAGATATCGTACTGCCACCGACATGATGACCAAAGCAATGACAAATGCAATCCTACGCTTCTCGATCCGATAAACTTCGTGCTCTGATGTTACTGTCAGACAAGTGAGATATGTCGTTAAAAAATTCTGACCTCAACACACCCAAAGGCACACTCTTGTGTTAGGAGATTATAAGAATTCTGTTGTCATTCCTGTCTTTCCATCAATTAGCTATAAAATTGCACGTATTTTGCAGAAATTTAACTTTCAGGCCGTTCATTCTCCTATAATTCCGAGTTCCATACTCAAGGACCCCATTCCGGATTTGAATTCCTGAGGTATTTACAGGATTCCTTGCCAGTGTGGTTTAATTTACATTGGTCATACTAAGAGAGCCTTAAAATTTTGCGTTAAGGAACATGAGGCATATGTTAGAAAAAAGGAAACACAGAAGTCTTCTGTTGCCCAACATTGCTGGTCCGAAAATCACACTTTCAGTTTTTCGGCAGCCAAAATTATTTAAAAAGCATCTTCCATTGGTGAATTAGACTTTCTAGAAGCGTTTCACATTCAAAAAAAAAAATCTTTCTGTTCTAGTTAACGACCCTAATTCCAATCT